CCCCCCCCCCCTTTGCAGGGGCTGCATCTTCTGTGCCCCGTACGTGCTCTATGCACTTACATCAGCCGCACACAGGATGTAATGTCATGTGATCAGCTGTTTGTGGCTGTTGCTAACCCACACAGAGGTAAAACTCTTTCTAGACAAAGACTCTCTCATTGGATTGTAGAGGCCATGTTGCTAGCATATAGCAGCAAAAACCTTCCAATCCCTCTTGGAGTTAAAGCTCACTCCACCAGGGGTGTAGTGACATCTTGGGCCCTTTTTAAAGGGGTACCTGTGAGTTACATTTGTGCCGCGGCCAGCTGGGCCTCACCAAACACTTTTGCACGATTTTACAGCCTGGATGTAACAACACCTTCAGTGGCTCATTCTGTACTTTCTGCCGGGTCCAAAGCTCTGCATTAGTATAGTACTTACTCAGGCACACTACTTAACTCAGGTCTGATTCTGCTCTGCGGGGCGCTTTGACAAGTCCCATATACAACTGTGTGTTGTACTGAGTGAAATGACTGAAAAGAAATGTAAGATTATGAATATAACCACGGTTCCTTGAAGGAATGGAACGAAGTACAACACCTTGTTGACCCCGCATCACAAAAGGCTCGGTGAAGGGCAGTATCTAACTGAGTAATGACGCTGGTGACTCCGAACTTATATGACGTTCAACGTCACCACATCACCGGTCTAAAGACTTGATTAGAGGTGGCTTCAGCCAGGTGTCCCATATACAACTGTGTATTGTACTTGGTTCCATTCCTTCAAGGAACCGTGGTTATACTCATAACCTTATGTTTTTTATTGGTTACGATGCCTCCTGGTGAGGTGTTCTGGGCATGTCCCACTGGGAAAAGAGACCCAGAGGAAGACCCAGGACACGCTGAAGGGAATATGTTTCTCGGCTGACTTGGGAACGCCTTGGGATTCCCCCAGACAAGCTGGCCCAAGTGGGTGGGGAGAGGGAAGTCTGAGGAGAGGCAGCTTAGGCTGCTGCCCCCACGACCCGACCACGGATGAGCAGAAGAAAACGGATAGACGGATGGATGGCAGAAAACGTCATATTTAAAGAAAGTCCTAAAATATAGTGTAAAGTTCCTAAAAACTACAAATCAGGCCCTCTCAATCAGACAGATTTAAGCCCAGTGAAATAGACACTACATTTATAGAGTGGAGAGGAAAGGGAATAACAGCTATCTGCACTCTTGTAGAGAGGAAGACATTCAAAACATTTGAAAAACTTAAAAGAGAATTTGATTTGGACAATGAGAATTTACTCAGATGACTACAGTTAAGACATTTTTAAAATACTGAAATTAAGAAAGAAATAACCTGAGAGAAATGAGTTGATGGAGCTATTTATAGGGGCGTATAAAAAATACCAATAAATATAGTCTTTAAACTGTTTAAACTTTAAACTGTTAAAATGTTTACAAAAACAAAGTGGAAATAATTCATTGTATATAAAAACAAAATGGGAAACAGAAATGAATGTGAAATTGTCAAAGAGTGACTGGTTTTCCAGAGGATGAGAGAGAAGTTCCAGAGGATGGAGAGAATTTGGTTGGAAAAATTTGATGCAATATTTCATAACACAAAATAAATTTTTCCAGACACAGCGTCAATGCTGGAGGCAATGTGGCCATGAGAATGCCAGCCACTTCCATATTTTTTGGCAATGTACAAAAAAATACAAACCTACTGGTGCCAATTTACTCAGGCATTGGAAGAATTGTAGATTACAAGATCACCAGTGACCCCTGTATTCTATACTTGGGATTGTTTAAGAGCGAAGTAATACAAAGTGAGGATATCCTTCTCAGAATTGTTGACAGCTGCTAAAAAGGCCATCACTAAGAAATGGTTGAATAGGGATCCTCCAAGTTTGACACAATGTGTCTCGTATTTCCATCAAGGCTTTTTGATGCACATTTAGAAGTGTCGCATTAAATATGCGGGGAAAAAAGTCGGATGGAAACAGCAAAAATTCGAGAAAAAATCCTGAATTCGCTAAAAACTTTTTACACTCGCTTGCGGTGGTTTTTTGATGATTCGCAAAGGAGTTAATGCGCAAAACGGGAGATGGAAACACATTTGCTGAATAAATTCTGACATAGTGCATATTTACCTCGTGACGTTCAGCTGTTTCCGCTTTCTTGCCTCGTCCCGGATGTTATCATAAACAGGCGAAAACATGGCTTTATTTCCCTACATCTCTTGGCAGCATTAAACATAGCCTGTATTAGCTGAATAGATAGAATAATTACAACTTGCCCAATAGCAAGGCATTCACGAAAAAATCGCTCCATTTTAGCCTCTGCTAGTTAGCAAGTTTCACTTCCTGTTTACTACCACAAAGCTTGTCGCCGACGTCTGACACAATCACGCGTTGCGTAGCCTCGTCTGACGTAATCACGCATTCCGTAGCCTCGTCTGACGTAATCACGCGTTGCGTAGCCTCGTCTGACGTAATCACGCATTGAGTAGCCTCGTTTATTCACACCAAACAGTCGAGAGGGAAATTAGATGGAAACAGTTTAGATTAGAATTTTTATTTATTTAATTTTTTACGAATTTTGAAAAGTTCGATAAAAATTCACTCTACATCTTGATGGAAACACGTCTAATGGATGTCAACGGTACAGGAAATCTTCTCCATGGAAAAAAGGACTTACCGTCTCAAGACCAACGCTTGGTTCTTTGAGCACTGGAGAAAATGGCTTGACTACTTGACAAAAAGAACTTAATACTAGCAAAGCGTTTTTCTTTTGTAGTTTTGTTCTATGTTTTAAGTTGTAAAGTGTTTCAGTGTACAAAGTTTAAAAACACCAAACAAAGAGATAAAAAAAACTTTGAGTGTGCAAGTGTGTGAATGCTGGTAAGCAGGCCGGTGGGGTATGGGAGGTTTTGGCTGCACCATACTCAACTTGAGCGTGGTGACTTGTTCCTTTTCTAGGCTACTGTTTTGGTGAAATCTCTGGTGCTGATCACTACTGGGTTTTCCGTGGTTTTCTTCATCTCCTCCAGTGGGTGGTATATCAATATCAGAGCCCCTAAAATCATCCAAATGAGAACAGTCTTACACTTAGTGTTTTCTGTTTTTTTCTCTGTCAGTTTAGTTGGATATAACCTAGATTAACAGAGGTCCCTCATGTATTAACTGTCAATCTTCCTTCAGTCCTTCAACACTCTGCACTTGATGTACCATGAGGCGACAGCGTGCCACGTCACTGGAGACTTAGTGGAGCTTCTGTCCATCTTCCTGTCAGTCCTCAAAGACACCCGACCATACCTGCAGCGCAAAGGTCAGACTAACTTACTGTTCACAAGAAGAGTAAGACACAGAATAGGAAAACAAAAGCTTGTTTAATTGGTAATGTCAAGTTCTAGGTTTCACTAGATGCACGTGTTTGTGTTTGTATGACTACAAGCCACAACACTCAAACAGAATGGTAAATGGACTTAACTTATATAGCGCTTTATCAAGTCGCACCGCACCCCAAAGCGCTTTACACTTACAGACATTCACCCATGCACACACACATTCAGACACTGATGATTGTAAGTTACATTGTAGCCACAACTACCCAGGGGCACACTGACAGAGGTGGGGCTGCCATGCACCGGCGCCTCCGGACCCTCTGAAGCAGAGGTAGATGTGGGCAACATGTTTATCAGCGTTTATAATTCTCTGATGCTTATAAAAATAAAAATAAGAACTTATTAGAAAAGTTGAGCCATGTTTTTTTTCTAGATTTCCTAAGGGTACAGTGATGATCTTGCAACTTTCCTACCATATGAGTGACTCCAATATAAACAGGCAATTACAGATATATTGTGTCTGGAGTGTTTTCTGCTTATGCTAATCAGTTTTCTCTCTTTATAATCAGATGTGAAGCAGGCTCTGATCCAGTGGCAAGAGAGGATTGATTTTGCTCATAAACTGCTCACACTCCTCAACTCCTACAGCCCCCCTGAGCTAAGGAATGCCTGCCTAGGTAACCTTCATCTACATTCTTTTTGTTTTAGGGCTTAAAACTGAAAGTGAAGCCAGCAGATATAGATCTAGTTTTCCTTGGAGTGGTCAGAAATTCTGAAGTTGTCATGTGTCATGCTCTGTTGCAGATGTTCTGAAGGAGCTTGTGCTGCTGAGTCCACATGATTTCCTGCACACCCTTGTCCCTTTCTTACAGCACAACCACTGCACCTACCACCACAGTAACATCCCCTGTGAGTGCCCTTCCTCGAGCTAGCAACACTTTACACTTTTGGGGTTTTATACCAGTCGTTTAATATAATCAGGTTAACCGTTTCTGTAATCTTAGCAATCCTTTGAGATAGGTTTTGTATCATTAGATGCTGTATTTTTCTGATCCACATTTTTTTCCAAGTGGAAACTGAAAGTACCAGGTCTGGAAAACCCTTTTAAAATCTCTTATCTTACATTAACCTTTAGCCTGGTAAAAACCAGACCCTTGTCCTTCACTTTGCTTCGTACTAGGGTCTGGACTCGCTGTTATAGAGAAGCGATTCTTCCTGGAGGCGTGGCCTCTGCTGAAGTGTGTGTGTATGTCGCCGAGAAGGAGGCTAAGCTAAGAAGTTAACCGGAAATCGCGTGCGCTGTAAACAACCCTACTGAGAGGAGAGAAATACCGAGCCAAACGAGACGACTGTAAATGAGAGCTGCTGCTTTGTCAGACAAATTTAATTTAATTTGGAAGCCTTATCAACACAGACTGGCTTCATTCACTTCCTCCACTGGCATTGCTAAAGTAACTAGTAGACACTGCACAGAAAATCAACATCATTCAAAACACCGCCTTCTGTTTGCTGATTGGCCCAGGTAAAATAAACTACAAGCAGACACTGCACAGAAAATTGATATCGTTCAAAGCCCCTCCTTCTGTTTGCTGATTGGCCCAGGTAAAATAAACTACAAGCAGACACTGCACAGAAAATCGGCGTTTTGTTCTCTGATTGGTCCAGCTAAAAATCTGCCAGCGAAATCCTTCTCTATGGGAGAAATGCCATACGGAGCAGAGAAGCGAAACTAGAATTGAGCGGAGCTGCGTGGGAAGGCAAGGGCCAGGCTAATTAACCTTTTGATTAGGCATGGGACGATATGAAATTATGACGGTATGATAACCTTGGGCCAAAATATCACGGTTTCGCGGTATGACGATATTATGATTACAGCNATTATATTCAACTTTAACTATCTTTGGAAGCTGTTTTTAGATCTCAGAGGTGTTCTGCTGAAATTTAATTTACCTGTGTGCTCGGTACTTTATTGATTTTTAGCACCTAATGCAATTAGATTATTCTGAAAGTAAGATAACTGCTTTTCTATTGCTTTATTATTGAAGACAAATCAGTGTATACTGCACGACAAGTCTTTTTATTGAAGTAATCTATCACATTAGAGGTTTTTTATTATTTTAAGTTTCAAAAGGGTTTTTGACTTAAAGATTTGGTAGTTTTCTTTAACAGTTTCTGGTCCAACAAAACGTCACATTCATCTACCTCCGGCGCACTGAAACCATCGAAGTCCTCCTCTTCAGTGTTGGAGTTAAACAAGTTCAGAAAAGCTGCATCACACAGTGGAATCTGTTCAGTGTTGCTTTCTGTGTCGCTGTCCTCCCGGGGTAATGCTGGCTCTGAAGCTGTGGTGCCCTCTTCACGTAGCAGTCCAGCCTTTCGGAACCCACTGGTGATGATGGACTCATTCACTCTGCTCCACGCTGTTAGGATCCACTGGCAGACATCAGGAAATGACGCTCTTCACATTCGGCCAGATTTTGTGAATGATTTATCTCCATCAGTGCTGCTTTAAATGCACGATTCACGCTGATGTCCAGAGGTTGCAAAAACTTTGTTGTACCTCCAGGAATAACAGCAGGAATTGAGTTTGTTTTCTTGAYGGCTGCTTTCACCRAATCCGTGATGTGGGCCCGCATACTGTCCAATATCGTGTCTGTCGAAGATTCGTCGTGTCGTGTCTGCTACTAGCTAAAACAAAATGGCGCTACACCTCCGGCTAAGCTGGCAGTATGGCCACTCGGCTGTCGACCGGTCGACCCGCCATCACGTGGTTGTTCAACGTTCCTGTTCGCACTGACCTTTCATAGTTCCCCCGAGCCGTGCTGCTGGGCAAGCCCTCCCGCTCCAGCATACGTCACTGCATGGGATTCCTTCCCCGGGGAGTGCAATGTGGGGGAAAAAAAGTCAGCAGCTCTTCACTCGACGTTTATCCACAAACTGGTCCTGGATTAAGCTCCAAAGTTTTTATCAGTCAAATTCCACCGTGAAAAAATGTCTTGTTTTATCCCCTTTTATGAGTTTTTGGCCATTGACTATCTTTAAATCGCTGCTTCCTGGTACAACAGTTGGCTCTGGAAGCGATCGCTTTTTTCTTCTTTTTTTTCTTTTTTTGAAGCGAGTGGTTGAAGCAAATACTGCATAAGAGCCCCCTGGTGGCTGAAGAAAAAATCCACGTACAAGCCGCATGGTTCAAAGTTCAGGAAAAAAGCTGCGGCTTATAGTCCAAAAAAAACGGTACACAAAATTTCATAATATGCCGATGATGTATTATTGTATTTGACGGAACCTAAATCAGCAATCCCCTACCTAAAAGAGCTCATCTCTCAATACGGATACTATTCAGGCTACAAAGTTAATATAGAAAAAACAGAAGCTATGGATGTGAACGGCACAATTTCAGAATCCACAAAATTACAGAGTGGATTTAAGTGACCCAAGAACGGTTTCAGATATCTGGGAATTCATATACCTCCATCCCTATGTGACATTTATGAGGCAATTTATAGCAAACTTATACGAGCCATTAAAAATGATCTGGACCATTGGGGTACACTCCCTATTTCTCTAACAGGCTGTGTTGAAAGTATCCGGTATGAATGTTTTACCAAGACTACTTTATTTATTCCAGATGCTGCATGTGGTGATTCCCAAATCTACCTTTGACACACTAGAAAAAATAACTGGATTCATTTGGCAAAAAAAACATCCTAGAATCAGACTAAAAACTCTGCAGTTATCTAAACCCAAGGGAGGCCTTAAACTCCCAAACTTAGATACTCCTGCAAAGAAAATGACAATCTGGACAAAAAACACCCTCAAAATTTGGAACAAAATACAATCGGTTTTTAAGTTATTAAACAGATGTCACTTTTATCTAATATAGGATTTATGTGTAGACGTTTGTACCAAACAATTTAGATTCTGCATTCAAAACCTGGTCTAATTATGGACTATCTTATATTTCTTATATTCATCAGTTAATTAAAGAGGGAATTTTCAAAACCTTTGAGCAAATGAAAAGTGAATTTGGTCTCCCTAAGACGGACTTCTATTGATACTTACAACTCAGAACCTTTGTGACAACACACAACAATTGGACTAAACTCCATGAACCTACACCGCTAGAAATTTTCCTAATGGACTTACAAAGGGGAAAGGGAAATGAAAAAGTAATCAGTAAAATATATGAACTGTTTCTGTCTATGAATATGCACGATTCCACAAACGTAAAGCATAAATGGGAGACTGAACTGCAGGAGTCAATAGCAGGGAGTACATGGGAAGAAATATGTACTGAAGCGCAATTATCAACAAATTCTAACTCATGGAGAGAATTCATAGTAAGGTTTTTCAGAACACCAGCAATAACTAGTAAAATGTGCCCAACACAACCCAGCTCATGCTGGAGAAAATGCGAGACGCAGAACGCAAATCATATGCATATCTTTTTGGTCATGTCCTAAACTAAGTGTATTCTGGGAGGAGATTTTTGAAGCTCTCAAGGTAATTTTCAAGAGAGATGTTGCAAGAACCCCCCTGGTGGCAGTTTTGGGAGAAATACCTGATGGAATGGATAGGAAGGGTGATAGATATCTCCTAAATGTCCTGTTCACAGCAGCTTTGAAATGCACAACTATCAGATGGCTGAAAATGGGGCCTCCTACATTTAATAATTGGATACAAAAAGTGTGGGACATTTATTCAATGGAAGAAATCACATATTCCCTGAGACTCCAAAAATCAGTTTTTACTATACAGTGGAGCCCTGTCATGCCCTTGTTAATTCAATGACACATTTACGGGATTACCTTTGAGCACTCACTGTGTACTCTTGGATCGGTTTAAAATACCACTGTGCTTAAGAATGTATGGATTATCTTATCTCAGAGGGGATTCAACCATGTGTTTTGTGTTTATTTGATTTTTATTTGTCTTTTGATTCCACTTTGTTGTTGTATATTCAGTATCCGAATTGTTAAATCATTTGCTGTCTCATCCTCCTTTGTCAAGTTATAATGTAGATGATATATGTCAGTAAGAGACAGAAGAATGTAACTGTGGTAAGGTGGTATTGTTAAAAATAAATAAAAACAAAGTTAAAAAAAATCATATCAAATCCATAATCCAACAACTCAAAACAGTTTTGCAGACAAGCTGTGATCGGTGCATTAAGCCACAGCAAGTTTGGGGAACTCTGCTTTTCAGCGAGTGCCGACAGGCAGCTCCGCAGGAGTGCGCGGGGGAGGGGTCGCGGGTGAAAGTCTGCAGCGGAACAGACCCGAGGAAAAAAAAACACTTTTACCGTAGGCACGGTATGACAGAAGATTTTAGTGGTTTTCAAACCGTGACTTTTTCATATCACGGTATACCTTGAAGCCGGTATTCGGCCCATACCTACTTTTGATTGACCCCTTGTGTATTTGTCCATCTGTCCTCAGTGTCATTTGGCCCTTACCTGCCATGCAGAGAGAACATCAAGTTAATGGGCGCCAAGAACAACATCCGACCTCCAAGACCAGAGCTCAACATGTGTCTGCTTCCCTCTTTGGTGGAGAGCAGCAAGGTAAGTCTGACTTAATCACATCATCAGTTGTTTTGCCACAGGCTGTTCTTTTAGAATTTTATTCACCCATTGAAACCTCTAAAAGCTGCATCAGCTGGTTGTTGGTAGTAAAACCACAGAGTGGGCCATTTATATGGATACACTAAATAAAATGGGAATGGTTGGTGATATTAATTTCCTGTTTGTGGAACATAAATATTTGGGAGGGGGGAAACTTTTCAAGATGTATAGTGACCATGGTGGCCATTTTGGACCCAACTTTAGTTTTTTCAATGAGATTAGGGTCATGTGACACATGAAACTTATTGAGAATTTCACAAAAACCATGGTATGCTTGGTTTTAACGTAATTTTTTTTTTTCATTAGTTATTTACAAGTTTCTGATCACTTATAAAATGTGTTCAAAGTGCTGCCCATTATGTCGGATTGTCAATCCAACCCTTTTCTCCCACTCTTCACACACTGATAGCAGCACCGCAGAAGAAATGCTAGCACAGGCTTCCAGTATCCATTGTTTCAGGTGCTGCACATCTCGTACCTTCACAGTATAGACAATTGGCTTTAGATCAGAGATTTTTAACCCATGGGCCAGCGCCATCTTGAGGGCCTCAAAAGAACAACAGTTTTTAACTTTGGGCCGCAGAGGGCCGTGGGACCACATTAATTTTGAATAAGGTGCAATACACTTTCTCACCACTAGTAGGAGTAGTGCGCCACGCAGTTGTTTAACAACTTTTTTATTATGTTGAAGAAGAACCTTAGAAACCTGCCGAGAATGGAAACCTATTTTAAAGGCACAGTGTGTAGGATTTGTTGTTTTCAGCGACATCTAGTGGTTGAATCATCCTCCCCCGACCCCCACCCCCACCCCA